TATTTCCATTATGTTTTTCTTTGAAGTTAACTAAAAAATCCAACAAAAAATCCAATCAGGAACACTTAGATAAGTTTTATTATTAAATAATGCAGTCCCTCTACTATACCTTGAACAGGAGTGCTGATTGATTGTGACTGACACAGACAATTGAATTCAATTGAATTTTTAGCTTTTTGTATATTTTTTTTTTAAATCCGTCATGCTCAAAATGCCAAAAAACTTAGGAAATTAATGGCAGCTACTAGCTAAATAATTATTTAAATTTTTTTTTTTTTTAAGTTGAGTAGGTCCAAAAACCATTTTAAACCAGTTGTTTCAGAGGAATTTTGCTTATAACTGCCTATGTGGTCATCAGTGGATGAAGATGGGAATAAGAAAATCCCAGTCAGGTCCTAGGGAACCAACAGTTGTATTCAGTACATACAAACCAACTCTCTCAATGCAAATATAGATTCATTTACAAAATCTTCAGGTATTACAAATTCAATTGTATCTTCCTATTGCCAGTCAAGCTTAGCACTTCAACACTAATTTACTCATAATCAGACTGAGTCAAAGCCAGCTGTGCCTCAGAATAAAAAATACCTTGGGTTTCTTTAGAAGACTTCTGCTAAAAATATATTTACATGAGATCAGGACAGGAGCTTATGCAAATACAATCATGCAAACCTTCTGTTGTCATGTCATTGTTGGGACATAGAAAGCCAGTGTCATCCCAGGATTTACATGTCTATGTAATATTGTGCAACAATTTAGAAGAAATGAAAAATGAAATATAATTCAAAGATGACTTGACTTTTTAAAGATACTACCATAGTCAAAAAAAAGAGAAGAAATTTTGATCAGTTATTTAAATTCATTACCAGCTTAGTTTCATTAAGACACCATAGTGTGCATCTCAAGAAAAATGCTCTTATTTGAAATGTAATTCAATGGATGTTGTCATCTCCTTTGAATAATTGCACTTTCAAATAATTATTGGAAAGGGATAAGACAGTAATTGCAATAACTTCTTTGAAATATTCCTCTAAACTTGAAAAACTAATTATACTTGGCTGATTTTTCAGTTTATTGAAAAGGCAAAAAACATGCTTTCTCAACTTTATTCCAGGTTTGCTGAAAATTGCCTGAAACATGAACCTATTACATACACCTAGTTTTACTTCAGTTATATTCTTAGTATGGAAAGTTCCCATTGACTTCAGAGTGACAAAGGAAGTTGCTGGATTCTGACCATTACAGAAGATCTCAACAATCTTCATACAAAGTACTTATTTAAATTCAAACATGATCTTCAAGTAAGAAAGTCAAACCAGCCAAGAAATATTTTCCCTTCTATCCAAACATTCAGGAAACAAGTCCCTAAACTCTTTTCCAAGAAGGAATAAACTAAAATTAAATATGGTTTCTGTTGAGACAGTACAAGCAGACACAACTAGTGCTTGTATATAGGTATCCCATATTTTAGATGCGTTGTCTAACTGTTGACTAATGGACTTTTCCTTGTGTTCTTCCACTGCGAGTTTCATCCTTTGCCACAAAGAAAAAGTTATATTTCTAGTTAGCAGGATGGGAAGAGTATCACTAGCAACCAGCTATAGTAGCATGCAACCCTTGAGCCTAAGCTTAAAGAATTTGCAGTTGCTATTACTGTTTATAATACAGTCATTTAGAAGACTAATTTTCTGAACATTCTATTACTGGATTTAACTCTGTTCATGTTAGTACCTTTTTTTTCTGTTTTCTAAAATTTTTACTTGTCTTTACTTTGATCAAATAGACATTTGAGGTCTCAAGGGCCTTCGTAAACCTAATAGTCAAATATAAATGGCAAAGATGCTTTTATAGCTTCTGTGCTTGAAAATATTGGCCTTGACATGATAATAAATTCTTTTTCTTTTTCCAGCTTTTTCAAGAAAAAAAAAAATCAGCAACACACAAAAACTAACTCAAACAAACCCTCAAAAAAGTTACCCAAAGCTTAGGATAGATACACCACTCCCAGGCACAGACCTGAGAAGTCTGAGAAAACAGACTGTCTGTATTTAAGAAGGCTGAGACTGGACAAAAAGTGAACAGCTTTCACTTACATATGCTTTTGGCTTGTCAGAACAAAATGGCTTAGTCACTAGGAATGAAGTAGGCAGACAGTACCTACTATAGACCGGGCAATCTCTTCCAGAAGTTGATTCCACTCTTCTTTACATTCTTACCCCTCACTGCTCTCCCTTACCCTTCCTCTGTGACAGCAGCAGTAAAAAGCCATTTCTGAACATCTGATTTATTTCCCTTGTCCCATTTCTCCATATTCATAGGCAGGGTTCAGTCCTGGCTCCTTCTCTGACCTCCCCTGATGTCAGACAATATTGAAAAGGTGATGCTGGGAGAATCATGGGTGATAAGCAGGAGGAGAAGCTTTGTGAATCCTGTGATGCCTTAGAATGAATTCCCTGTCACACAAAATAATGGTGGGAAAGAGGAAGTCTTGTAAGAGAAAAACAGATGCCTCCAGACACCTCCCAGATTCCTCCAAAGAACTCTTCTGCCTCCAGCCTTCACTTTCCCTACAGAGGGTATATACCTTTATTGCTACTATATTTAACTTCCAGGTTAGATTACTCAGATCAGTATAGCTAACTGGGTAACCTTAACAGTGTGGGAAGAATCAGATGTCTTAGGTACATCCTTCACTAGCACACGCTGCTCATCCCACAATTAGGCCAGATGTGTACAGTCCCCAAGGCCATGAAATGCCCCTATTCCATGGTTATATTTCAGGGGGGATAAAGGAGGACATGGCCTGCTTCTAGCCCTTTTACCTCTTTTTCATTTATTGACAGAAAGACCTTTCAGCTCTGAAAAAGAGAAGAGGCTGAGCTGCAGAAGGTCTATCACATGATGCTCTGGTCAATCTAGGATGGGATAATACCCAGTAATTTTATTATCAAGTACGTCTTGAGGTTTAACAGTAGGATAGCAACTCTAGGTACCTACTTGGTTATACACTACTTTCAGTTCATAATCAGATGCCTGTCTCGGGCTGGGAATCATAAACCCAGGGTCTTGGACTTAAAAGACATTTTATTATTCTTCCAGATTGAGATAATGAGCTACTTTTGTTTTTTCACTCTCCCTATTGCTGACTTCAGTGACCAGTGATATTATCAAAGGGGAAAACTAAGTTTTAGTCTAATCAAAAGTTTGGGCAATGGACTAATTGGTTGCTTCTGTACTCAAGTCAAGGGCAAGACTGTATTCACTACCGTGTTCTGCCACCAGCAAGCTCGGCTCTGGTTGCAACTCAGTAGGCATTGGGAGGGGGAGATGCATGTAATACCAGTACTCAATGATTAGGTTTGGGGTTTACTCTGTTTTTGAACCTAGAGGTACTCTGTCCACAGGTCCCAGTAGTTGGGCAAAGTCTGGTTTGGCATTGAGGGGCGCAGCCAGACTGAATCACCCTCAGTCGTAACTTACTGATTTTGATGCAGGTGGATGGGCCACCTTCACTTAACCCAGAAAAGGGACATATACTAGTCATCTATATGGTTCAATAAATATGGAAATAAAACTTCCCAAAAAGGAGACCTCAGGTCGAAAGCAAGGCATTCTGGCGCTGAGAAGATATGTAGCCTTTGGCCTTCCCGTGAAACGAAGGGAAGGGTAGTCACTTCAACCAAAACCTCGGTGAGGTGAAGAGGGAACTTCAGTCAGGTGAAGCTCCTTCTCGCCGGACAGTTTGGGTAAGCTGCGAAAACGCGAGGCGAGAGGTGGCAGCAGCGAGTCGCCGTGCATCCTGGCCGCGACGGTCGGTCGGTCGGTCCCGCTGCCGCCCCAACTCAGCCCGGTGGCAGGTCCCGCTGCCGCGCCCGCCGTTGTCCCTGCGGGCCCGTCATGACATATCCAGGGCGGCGGGCGGTGCTGGAGGGGGGCGGGGAGGCGGCGGGGGAGGATGGATGGGAGAGCCGTGTCCCTGCGGGAGCGGCTGGCATGGCAGCAACTAGTGCCGGGGGCACATGCGGGTCCTCTCCCTGTGGGGCAGGTGCTGCAACAAATGACCAGCTCTGGGTGCTGCCCTGGCGCCTCGGTCGACTCTGTGGCTGTCCCTATTGCCGCGCTGATGCTCAGCCTGCTGTAAGCGGGAAATAGCAGCAGTTACCCCGGGCAACAATCCCAAAAAATTGGTGGTTTTGCTCAGGTACCAAAACTGCGAGGCGAGTTGAAAGGAGCCCTGGAGTGGCAACTTTCAGGTGAGTGCTGCAACTGCATTCCCCACAAGTTTCTCAGACAGAGTTAAGGGTGCACAGGAGTAAAACACGACTTCCATATTCCTTACCCTCTCTGCTTGCAAGAAGACTTCTGAAAACATGGAAGATTTCCCAACTAGGTTTCCCAAGGATGAGAAGAGAGAACCGAAGAAACACGAGCCAGGAAATGAGCTCTTGCTTCCCTGTTACAGTCACCCTTTTGGATGGCAGAACTCAAGTTCCCAACCCATGACGGCAGGAGCCGCGGTGACTGCCGAAGGGCTGCTTCACACCTGCGCCCGCCGCCCCGCCTCCCCCTTCCCCAGTAAATCAGAGTTCCCCCCCGGCCGCGGGGTGCTGGGGGAATACGGGGACGCGCCCCTCTGCGGAGACGCTGAGGGGGACCTGGCCCGGCCCTACCTCGGCCCCGCCCGGCACGGGCGGTGGCTCCTCGTCGGGAGTGGGGCCGCCCGTCCCCCTCTCTCCCCCCCTCCCAGCGCCGGCTGCTCGGCCGCGGCGGGCGCGCTCCTGCTGGGGAGGGGACGGGCAGGGAGGGGCGGAGGCAGGCGGGAGGGAGGGAGGCAGGGCGGGCGGGAGCGCGGCGGCGGCAGATGCTGCGGCGGCGGCGGCTGTGTCTCCTTCGGCCACATCCCGCGGCCGGTGCGCCCGCCCGGCGCGCTGCGCTACGGCGCCGCCGCGCAGCCTGCCCCAGCCGCCGCCGCCGCAGCGGCCCCGCGCCTCGCCCCAGCGGCGGGGCGGTGGATGCCGAGCCCTCCTCGCCCCGGCAGCCAGCGGGCAGCTGTCCTGCGGCCGAGACCCGCGGAGCCGGACCGGCGCGCTCGCACGGACACGGGGACGCACGGGCGTACAGGGGCACACACGCACGCCCGGGGTGCGGGAGGGGGGGGGGGCAAGCCGAAGATGCTGCAGCTGGGCAAGGTCAGGACCTTGCGGTGAAGCCCAGGGCTGTCGCTCGCCCCCCCCCTTTCCCCCCTTTCCTCCTTGCCTGACGGACTGAGGATTTGCTGCTGGGTTTTGGTATATGTTTGGGAGCAAGCAGGCTGAATCGGCGCCGATCGGTGAGTACGACAGGCATCGTAATGGTGCCAGGTGCTCTCCCCCCTCTCCCCCCCCCCACCTTCCTGCTTGCGTGATGTTTCTTTTTGGTGTGCGGTTCTGCGCTGCTCCCTTCGCTGAGGCAGCCGGGCTGGGTTGGGCTGCAAGGGGCAGTGTTTGTGCCTTCAGCCGAGAGGTAACAAAGTGCGTTATTTCCCCATGGTTCTTCCTTCCGCGCCTCCCCCCCTCCATCGCTTTCCTCCCTTTCTTTCTACGTTAGTCGTTGCTTATGTAGGGCATCCGCGGCACGGTGTCTCCCGACGCCCTGCACTAATGTGCTCGTTACGGCAGTGAAGTCATGGGCCAGGGAGGAGGAGGAAGAAGAAGAAGAAGGAGCCCGGGGACCCGCGGGCGGGGGCAGCGCCCGGCCCTGCGCGGAACCCGGGCCCTGGGGCGGCTCCGAGCGGCGGCTGCTGCGCGGTTCTGTGTGTCTGTGCTGCATGTGTATGTGTATCTGTGTGTGTGTGCGGAGGGGTGTGTGTTCTTCCTTTGAAGCCACCGTCTGCGAAATCCTGCGCCCGAGGAGCGGGCGGAGGGGGTGGGGAGAGGAGCCGCGATGTGCGCTGTGATGTTTCGTTGATCTATATTTAATGGCTGAAAGGAGAGATGCTTTTCTTTCCTTTACCCTTACCTTACTCTTATTCTGGTATGTAATGTGCTTGCATTGATCGGTCAAAGCATAGTTTCAGCTGAATCAAGTCACCACATAGGAAGGAGGTGCAGTGGCACAGGCAGTACATGTAATACACAAATTCATCTGGCCAGGGATCTTGGAAGAAAATGAGAAAAACCCTCAAGAGGGATGATTTTAGAAACCATGCTAAATATCCCCTGGAGAGATTGGAAGCACGAATACATGGGAGAGTGTAATACAGTATCTCGTGCTGATACATTTTCTTATACTTTGTTAGAGTGTGCTTTGTTTGGATTCAGGGTGTTATGGTTAACCCTATGCATTACAGGAAAAAATATCCAAAACTTGATGAAATATTTAGAAATGAAGAGGTCCCTTTATTGAACAGCCAATTCTTAACTTCTTTGGCTGTAGTAATTGATATTTGTGCCCCTTAAAACATGTATTGCCTTTTTATTGGCAATAACAATGAAAGTAAAAACTTCACATTGCAGGTTTATTTTCTAAGTCTATATAGGTAGCCTGTATGTAAAGTGAAAACAGTGAGTCAGCCTGAGCTGTGGTTCACAACAAACCTCTCCATAAGGTACGTCAAGGCTTACGTACCTCAAGATAGAGAGAGGACAACCCAGAATATGGAGTTTATGTAAGTCTGTTGTGGCTTTTCCAAAATCAAGACAGGAAAAAAAAATCTTTGTCATCCTGTATTTGATATTCATCCTGTCTTAAAAAATAAACTGATTATATAACTCATAGGCTGGGTTGATAATTTTCAGACTGCCTGCTTAGTTGGTCAGTGTATAAATGACATGGCATGAAGGGGTTAAGGGCAGGTCTCTGGAAAAAGCTGCTGCACATCCTACTAGTGGGCCTCTGAGAGTCAAATGGCTTTTTTATGAGCCTATTTGCCTTTACACAGGTTAGCTGGGGAGGAGCCCCAACCTTAAATCCAAACCACCTAGGAAGGCTGTGATATTTAAGCAAAACGTTATGCGATGTTCAGATACCCTTGTAATACTGTTTCTGAGCCAAGTTGATGAAGCTGCCTCTCTTCAATCTATGAATGACTTGACCCTTTGGCAGCCTTGAATGACTATCAGTCTCTGTCCTGCAAAACTGCAGAGAACTTGTGATTGATCATCGACGTTAATGAGAAGTTGATTAATAGCTCGGGACTGGGTTGAATGTGATTATGTTAAATGTTATAGTTCCGAAACAGGATATCGCATCTTGATCACGTTGCTCAGAGATGGTTTTTGCAGTCTGTTATATAAGAGAGGCTTGGGGAAAAAAGAGAGTTGCGGGCTGTGCTGTGTATACGTACTAAAGGAAATACCCCTCAAACCTGCTGGTAGGAAGCAAAGTATTTGTTTCTGAATGTCAGTTGTATGACTTTTTGTGAATTGCAAGAAGTCCAGCTATAGTGCTAAAGTTCTGGTTGTCAGGTACCTTAATTGATGTTAAAAGCAATAAATAGCTCATTGGTGACACAAGTTTGTGACTTTTGCTGTGGTTTTTTTTGGATAATGATACTAAAAAAAAATTCATCCTCACATAATGAACTCTGACAGGCAGCTGCACAAAATAGAAATAGTAGCAACTAAAAAAAACAAGATGTTTGCATAATTTTGATTTGCATAATTTACCTTTGCTGATGGATGGTATCAATTTAATGGCTGTGGTTCAATGTTGTTTCTCAAGACACGTGTAAAATCAACTTATGCTACAAAGGAAGTGCCAAAGCAGTTTATTTTAAGAGTTTTAAGAAATGCATTTTTAGGTAGGGCTGTAAATTGGCATGTAAATGGAGCAGCTAACAGAATCAGCAGAACTCATGAGTGTTAAATTTTTCACTAAATTTCAGATACACTCTCTATTTCATGGTTCAGTATGATATAATTTTTAGAGCTGATCACTTATGGAAATTCCAGCCTATCTTTGTTAGGATTTCAAGCATATGTTTCTGTCCTAGAAGTAACTGTTTTCAGAAGTATCAGCAAGATAAGGAAAATACATTATTACAGTACTCTTCACTTAAATAAGGACCTGTGGTTTTGATGCTTATTGATTGTGCTTGTAAGTCATGAAGAGTTTGAGATTTGAAGCTGAGGTTTAACAAAAATGAAAGTGATTGTATTTCCCTTTGAAGGCCTCAGTAAGATCTTGTTACGGGATGAATTGTGGATGCTTATTTAACTGTGCAGTATTAAATTTAGTAGTATAGTTATTAATAACATACGAGTAAGCAATAAACTTTATGGAGGCAGCATTTTTAAATATAGTGAATTTATTTTTTAAGTGACAGAATGACTCTCAAATAGGACTAAACCACATTTACTCTTAAAGAAGGAATTGTTTTTGTCATGATGAAAGACATGGAATGCATTATTTTTCTGACCTGTGTTTTTTATGGGTGCATGAGGGGAAAAGTAATTTCTTTCATGTGAATAAGAAGTCTCCATGCAGTACAGGAGTGCAGTCCTCTGCTCATGCACTGCAGAACCACGTGACCCTTTGGCTAATGGCTCCTTTGTAGTTAGGCTCACTTGGAAAGAAGTCTGAATGCAGCATGACACACTGAAACAATTTGTTCTATCCCTTTGGGATATGCTAACTTTGTGTCACAAATGGGTTGTAAAAGCAGATTGCCTGACCAGATTCTCTTGCACTATACTGGACAAAATTTAAGTTCAATAATATTGAAAAGGAAATATGGTATCTGTTTTTATGTAAACCATTTGCCATGTGAATAGATGTGTGTTTTTTCTTGTATTAACTGCCAGTTCAGTGTAAAACTGAGAAACAGAGAAACATCTCATTATCTATGAGAGCAAGTTTAATATTTGTTTAAATTGCTCTTGACATGTTAACTTCTAGTGCATCCTACTGACTCTTGATCTGCCTATTCTACTTTACAAAATTCAGTTATACTAATAAGCAATAACTTCAAGACACATCAGCATGGAGGAGTATGTATTGTCTTGTCTTTTTGGTCACTGCGTATTTTACTGCAGTTTCTAAAAAAAACAAACCCCAAAACAGGCTTGTAATGAAATTCTAAAACTTCGTGCTTCCCAAAGCTGCCAAGAGGTGATAACTTTATAAAATTTGTATATAAAATAACCATGTTTGATGTTGCATTTTATTGTGGTTTATTGCATTAGTCATAATAGTTCTACTATATAAAAACCATTATTTTCTGATTGTTTTAATTTATTTTAAGAAGCCATAAATATGGAGAGCTTGAATAGTAACATCCAAAATCAAGAACATCTGAGACCCAAAGGGTTTTACATTCTCTAGGGGAAGATTTTGCCTTTTTCCCTCCTAATTTCCTATGTTTTCTTCTCCCACTCCTTTTTTTATTTTGGTTTTGCCAATTTTGCAATTGATTTCTTTATCTCCCAAAAATATTCACAGTACAGTAATTTCCTTTTGGTCGAGAAAATAATTTTTTTGGAAACTAACAGTAAAACTTGGATTTGTCTGCTTAGTGTAACATAAAAGTATTCTTTTATAAGCCATGGCTAGATTCTTGTGTTCTAACACAGTTGTTATTCAGCTAAGTAGCACCAAAATATCCCTTTAAGTTTGAATTTTTGAAGGGAGCCAAATGAAATAAACAGGTAGTGTAAACAGGTATTCTGGTGGGATTCTTAATTGTTTTAAATCCATTGGATAAAACTTAGCTCTTACACACCCACTTAGATTAATTTCTTTCAGATTGCTAAGATGTTTGAGAAAATAATTTGAAATAAGATTCAATGTCGTGGTAGAAAATTGCTGTACCTTTTAGCTCCACTAGGATTACTAAGGCTTGTAATTTGCATCCTGTGAAGGTATAATATGCCTTCCATCAGAACCAGCAAGCAGTTTGAAAGGGTGACTGGCAAGGAGCATCTCAGAGGTAATTCAAGGCTCCAGTTTCAGCGTAGTTTCCCACTTCCCAGGAGAGCACTTCTACAATTTTTGAAGGTGGAAAGCATGCGCTGAATGTTGAGAACAGAACATGTGAACCTTACAGTTTTTCTTTACAATTTTCCACTAAAATACTGAAATTCACGAGTGTGTGTATTTTTGGAACACTAGCTGATCTAGAGATGTTTTTGTTGCTTTTGTTTGGTTGGTTGTTTTTTTTAATATATACATTATTTTATATTTATGTGAGCAAAGAAACTAACTTTTCTGAAGATGACATACATGAGTCAAATCCTGGCATCCTGATGGTGTCCTAATGTCGTAGTTGGCTGGTGTCCTAGTTACAGAGGCTGGGACCAGTTTATCACTATGCGGGTATAACCAAAACTGTGTATTCTATGCCCTCTATGC